AAGCCAAACAAGGAACTGCCATACGGCCCAGAATTGCACTCTTGGGCATGCATCCCAGAAAAATGAAAACATATGTTCACACAAAAATCTGTACATGAGTGACTAGTGGTAGAATAGCCAAAAAGTGGAAACAATACAGATGTCCTTCAACAGGTGAATGGTTAAACAAACTGGTTCACCTATATGATGGAATACTACTCAGCAATAAAAAGAAAACTATTGGTACACATAACAACCTGGATGAATCACAAGAGAATTATGCTGAGTTTTCTGAAAAAGCCAATCCGAAAAGGTTACAAACTACATGATTTCACTTATATAACATTCTTGAAATGATAAAATTATAGAAATAGAAAACAAATTACTAGTTGCCAGGGGCTAAGGATGGGGTAGGGGCCGGAGGGAAATGGCTGTGACTATCACAGGCAATGTAAGGGATCCTTGATGATAGAAATATTCTGTATCTTAAATATGTCAATGTACTGATTGTGTTATGTATTATAGTTTTGCAAGATGTTATAATTGGGAGAAACTGGGTATTCCTGGATTATTTTAACAACTGCATGTGAATCTACAATTATCTCAAAATAAAAATGAGAAGTTTTTTTTTAAAAAAATGGCATTATCTCAAAACAAAAATAAAATTTAAAATGGCATTGTCTCCAAAGGAATTATCAGCCAACACATTTGTCATCAGATTTTAATATTTCTAATTTTCTCGTTGACAGGAAACAGAAGAGCTCACTAGGAAACTCATCTCTAACAACCTAGTTCCAAAGCATTTATCAAGCGCTCATCATATGCAACCAGGGGCTAGGGAAATAGGCAAAGATGAAGAAGACAATGTCGATTTAGAAGAGTTTATACTTCTAATGACATTGAACAGGAACTACAGTACTAGACTCAAGTTATCTTTGTAAGCTGCTTCATTATTCCTACCCATAATGAGAAGTATTTCTAAACAGAATACAGGCAGCACCTGACCAATATATGATCAACTTATGTATAGCGCAGGACACTTCCCCACCAGGACCCCCTGCTCCCAAGCCCTGGTCTCTGTGTCTCGCCTCAGCCTAACCCACGCGCCCCACCCGCAAGTGGCTAGGCAGAAACAGGTGGGGGGGGGGCTGTAAATCATACACACGTGTGATATATTCTCATTCTCTCCCTCTCTCCCTCCCTCCCTCTCTCTCTCTCCCCCTCTTTCTGCAATTCCTCTGAATATGAACACTCAAAGCAAGAAGAGAATGGCAAACAGCAGGGAGCTGGTTAGATCTCCAGCTGCCAGGCCTCCTCTCACTACAGTTATGACATCAGAAAAAGAAAAGAGACAAAGGAGGAGAAAAGAACGGGGGGGGGGGGGGGGGGGGGGCAAGGAGGGAAAGGAGAGAGAAGCTATGCCCATTCTTATCCCATCCCCTCAGCTCTTTACCTCCCTCTGCCCACCTCCCCCCACTCCTATCCCAGAAGCATTTCCCAAGAGCCTCTTTCCCTTTAAAGCACACTAGTTTCCTCCCAGCTTCGCTGGAGCCATGCCTCAGGAGTCACATTCCAAGAAACTGGAAAATAAATACAAATGAACGTAATTCATCATTTGTTAATACTCTAACCCTTGCCTCCTAGTAAAGCTTTACTGTAACTGTAGTCCATTTTTAAATGATTAGGTTACTTTTAGAAATTACAGGTTTAGTTTATACCAAGAAACCTTAAACTACTATTCACACCCATGGGGCAAGAACTGCTTTCACCTCTGTTAATCTGTCTTGCCCCTAAGTCTGGCTTTATCCTGACACCCAGCAAGTGAAGCCTGTGAGTAGCCAAAATTGGTGTCCCAAGAACGTGAGGGCAAGCTGCAATAATGACCACGGCCTCTCTACTAATTGGCAGAGTCAGTTAGGCTGACTAGTTGGCTCACTGGGTTCCCCATCTTCCCTCAACATTTCAAGTGTTGTGTTTCCAAGGTTGGAAGTAGTACAAAGAAATTACATGGTCTTTGCACCAGAGTTCATCTATTTTACTCAAGCCCATAGTTTCACATTCAGCTCTAATAAACTTAGCTGGATTCCAAGTTCACGGCTAATCAGAAGGCATACATTTCCTACAGAGAGAAGCACTCTGTTCATTCACCACCATTTGCTGAGGGCCTAAGAAGTGCCAGGAACTTGGAGACAGAGCAGTGAGCAACACTCAGCAATCCCTCTCCTCTCTGGCTTATGTAGGCAAGGGAGCTCAGACAGTAGAAGAGTAAAGTAAAACAAAAAGCACTTTAAATAAAATAATTACAAAGTATGATAGTTGCTAACAAGGATATAAACAGAGCTGAGGAACTTGTACTTTCTCGGGATACGAAGAGCAATTTCCCTTCCAGTACTGTCAACATACAGAACAAAAAATTCGTATAATTTACTGACCCCAAATATATTCTAAAATTTACTTTTAAAAATTAAATCCAAGATGCTGGCTTGTTACCATCTTCTTATGTTAAAAGCTGAATGCCCTTCCAATTCCCTAGAGTAGAAGTGGTAAGAGGAGGGCTTAAGGCAGTATTTGCATAGATGGAGATGACCAAAAATCCGTCACTGAGAAGTCAGGGAAGGAAGCAGGAAGTATACCAAAGAGCACGCCTTAACTCTGCCTAAGGTAGGCCCTGTAACAAGGAAAAACACCTCCTTCTCTTCTTTGTCAAAATCACTTAGCATCCAGCTCCATGGGATCCACAATCCTTACTAGTTCCTTACTTCAGTTGCTTTAAGCAACTTTTGCAGACTCACCTGTGCATAAAAACACCATGTGGAAAACTGGGTGGTTTTTTTAGGAAAGTGGAGTATATTCTAAACAAGCAACCAACAAACCAACTCCACTTAAACTGGAGACTGCCAAGTTACTTTCAAACACTATCCTTGCTTTCTACATTTAACTCCAGTCAAAACGCAATCACTCCAACCAATCTTTGAGGAAAATAAAGAAAATTACATTATCAAAGGTACCTAACGTTTTTAAATGTGCCAAACACAATAACCTAATGTTAAAACCTACTGACTGGGAGATACATTTCACTACAAATCTGACCCACACAGCCAATCATCTGAATTTCCATCGAAGAAGCTATAAGCACCATGATGGAGCAAATATGAATCCAGCCTTCATCTAGGCCTCAGAGGGAAAAAACAGCTCTGAATTGTCATTTTGGAAGAAACCTTCCTTTCTTACACTTCAAATGTAATTTCACCAAATTTAAATCCAAGATTTTTGTTAACCTGTTTGGCTTTGCTTTCTCAAACAAAATTATTCATAGACTGAAGACTCTAGATTTGTTCCCTGCTATTGCATCTCCACTTCTTCCCAAACATTTCATAAAGCCTGACCTACATTAAGCTAGGAAGTTACGTCTGAAAGCTTCCACCCAGCCTTTCTTTCTAAACACCTACAGCTGTAAATTGTGAGCGGGGTGTCTGTTTTTATGTTCATTTACTGGAGTGCAAGACATGCTTGACACAGTGAGTTTTTTCTCCGATGTATTTAAGGTGATATATTTGCCTGAATTACTCCTGTATCATTGCTGGTAATATTGGGATCTAAAATAAAACCTAATTGGAAACCCTTAAAAAGGGGGGGGGGGGGGCGGGATGAAGATTTGTAGTCCAGTCCTCTTGTCACAAATAGGAACTGGAGAGGAATGAGCTCTTTTTTTCAATGATGTCCAGAGAATTCTCCACCAATTCCCTCCCTTCACCCAGTTCCCTTGTAACCACTACCAGAAAATTCTCCTTTAGTGTCTTGGGCATCACCCTCAAACTCTTATCCACCTGTGCTGCTCCTTTCTGTTCCCATGGAGAACATCAGCCTCTGTAACAACCTTGCAAACCCTGTGATACTCAAAATCCTCTGATGACTTCCCTTCTCACTCAGAAGAAAAGTCCAAGTTCCCACAAAGGCCAAGCTCTGCATCATCTAGCCAGCCCACGACCTCCTTAACTCTCCAGCCTCATCTCTTTCTGCTCTTGCCCTCACTCCCTGCTCACACCATTAATTTCTGCCTGGAATGCTCCCTCCCCTCCTTGGGGGGCTTTCTCAGATGTTATGTTCCCTTAACCCTCCACCCCTCACTGTGAAACTAAAAACTTCCAACTCCCTACCCTCTAACCAACTTCCTATTTAACTTATTTTAGAAACTGTTATCCCCACTATTAGTTCCAGGAAAGCAGGGATTTATCTGTTTTGTTCATTGACGTATCCCCACGGCCCAGCACAGTGCAAGTTACCTGACAAGAGTTTAGTAAACATTTGTGAATGAAGCAAAGTCATTCATTTAACAGATGTTTGCTAGGCACCTGGTCTGGGCCAAGCTGGTGAAGTCAAGACAAGACACTGTCCTGCCTTTAATGCACCAGATGGAGAAGTGCATCACACACATGTTCAATACAGGACTGCAAACTAAGGCCACGGGCAGGTCACAGAATACACCAAAAGCTCAGAGGAAAAGGCCTCGGCTTCGCACTCCTGGGCACCAGCCCAGCTTCCCACCACCGCGCAGCTCACCAGAGAGCATCCCCCCAGAGTCTCCTCTAGACCCCTGAGACGAGCGGGACTCACTCGCCACCCCCAGGGCTGAGGTTACTTGCCCAGGGGCGCAACTTCACGCCTAGCGCAAGACTTAACGAAACAAATTTAAAAGCCTCTCCTCTTCAGCCTCCGCCCCCTCTCCTTTGCCCGGCGGCCACCCCACACTGGCCCGCCACTTAACCCCGCTCTGACCAAACACCCCTCACAACCTAGCGCGCCCTACTTCCGCGGTCCACACCTGCTCCCGGCGTCCCCTTCGCCTCCTCCCTGCGCGTGCGCGATCAGACCCACATGGGTTCGGGCGAGGCCGGCCGCGCGGCGGAGGCTGGGCACGCCCCCAGCGTAGAGCCGGCTCCTGATTGGCTGCCCGGCGCTCGCCAGAGCAGAGCTGGAGAGGCCTGCGGCTGCGCTTCTAAAGGCGCTGCCAGTCGAGTCTTGTGCCACAGTGTCTTGATCCTCGCCTCCTCCGCGCGCTTCCTGAAATCCGTGCAACCCCACCGGCATGTCTCAGGTATGACGCGTGCCGAGCCTGGCAGCGAAGGTGCAGCGGGAGGGGAGACCGGTGTGGGGATCATCGGACAGAACCCCGCAGGGTGTTCCCTTCCAGCTCCGCAGTTCCTCCTGGACCCATGCCCAGCCCTGACTCTTTGGACAGAGCCCCGTGAGCGGAACTTTCCGGTTTTAGACTCCCAAAACCGATACCCAGCCTCAACTGCTGGAAAGTTGCCCATGAGTGGACTTCGCGGTGAAGCAGAAAGAGGGGTCGGAGGCGAGGGTCTAGGCAGAAAATGGGAGGTAGAGGGTTGCATGGATTGAAGGAGCAAGGGGACCGAGGCCCCCATCCGGAAAGACAGGGCAGGACTGGGGACGCCATACAGAGTGGAGAATCAAGGAGGCCATGGCTGAGAGCTTGGAGGTCAGGGGAAGTTCTGGCCAAGTGTCCGGCATGCGGGAAGGGGAGGGTCGCAGCCTGGGGAGAGGTAACTCAGAGGCCTTTCCCTTCCGTCGGATGTAGACGCTTTTCTGAGACCCAGCTGTGTGGGGCGATCTCTGGCTCCTCGCACCTCTCTCCCTTCCGGTCACTGGGACAGAGGTCAGCGCTGGACGCCGTGGCCCCAGGGGGAGGGGGCCAGCGGGCTCTGGCCGCTTACATTCTTGCCCTGTCCCCTTCTCAGCTGTTTCACACACGCTGTGCCTGCCCTATCCACACGTCAGGGCTTTACTGGGACCCCGGTCTTGCCCGTGGCCGGGCAGTTGGCCGTGCTGCTTTTCCCGTGAAATGTATGCCCACTGCAGGCAGTCTTAGCTTGCCTCCTTCACCACTGTATTCCCAGCACTTGATACCTGGTACAGTGAGAGCGTGCAATGCATAGTTGTCCATCCAGTGAGTGAACCGGTGTGCTTCCCCTCCTTGTTTTGCAAAATCTTTCTAGCTGCTCTGTTGGGGAGATGAGGGGAGACACACTGCTTTTCCTCACCTGCATTGCGGGAGGAGTGCTGCCTTTCAAACCCCTCCATCCCCATTACTGAGTTCTATTCAGCCCTCTCCTCTCCCTTGCATTTAGGCCGAGTTTGACAAAGCTGCAGAGGAGGTTAAGCACCTCAAGACCAAGCCGACAGATGATGAGATGCTGTTCATCTACAGCCGCTACAAACAAGCCACTGTGGGTGACATAAATACAGGTATGCTGAGATGAGGTTGGGAGGGCCCCTACTTTTCAAAGCAGGCTTAGCATCCTTGATTGGTAGCTCAGATAGCAGAATTCAAATCCTGGTTTTGGAAGGACTTTACAGATTATCACCAGCATTTCCCATCTGCTTGGGAAGAAGCAAAGACCCCAGCTTGGAAGAGACTTGCTCCAAGCTCTCGGCTCAGTAGTAGCTTTGTTGAACCCTACTGCTTCCGCCCCAGCTGTGCAGGATCAAAGTTGGAGTACTTGGCAGCTGGGCCAAGGCTAATGTCAGGAGCAGAGAGGCAGCTGGCTTCCTGGGGCAGGTCAGAGACATTTTTGCTGACAACAGTTCCTGATGACCATTTATTCTCTGTTGAAAAATCTTGGTACAGATTTTGAGGCCACGGTTTGGACTACTGTATTCTGTAATACTGTCTTTCCTGCCTTGGACAGATTTCATTCTGCCACCAAGTCCTGGAGACTCGGGTGTATGCTGAGGCAACAGCATGATGCAGTCTGTGCAGGGACTCGGGGTGGTGGCCATGGCAGCATAGAAGGAGGTCACCCCTGCCCGTTCTGGAGAGTGAGCTGTGCTCACTCTCCAGACTTGGGGTGGAGGGTGGAGCAGGTGGGCTGGCTGCCAGGCAGCTGGAATCAGGAGATGGTGGCTAGAGCTAAGGATCATAGGCCATATTAAATCAGAGTTCACAGGGAGGGCATAGTTGGGAAAGGTCTTGTGGTGAAGGTGAGTTTCACGCTGGGTTTATAAACTCTAGATCCTCCCAGGGTGGAGGAGGAGAGATGAAGTGGGGGTGACCAGCGGGGCTGAGATGCTTTTCTGCCCAACAGGATGTTCGCAGAGACTGGCCTCTGCCCTGTGTCCACATGGGTATCGGTAGACTCGCTTGGGAACCTGTCACTTCCTGATCAGGGAGGTATCAGCTCACTAGGGCTGAACTGTCCAATACAGCAGCCACATGTGGCATATCTAAATTTAAAGTGAAAATAGTTAAAATGAAATAAAATCAAAAGTCCAGTCCTCAGTCACACAAGCCACATTTCAGGTGCTCAGTTGCCACGAGTGACAAGTGGCCCCCGAATTGGACAGTGCAAATGTACAACATTTCCATTGTCACAGAAAGGGCTGCTCTAGGATTCTGATGATGACTCTGCAGGTGCAGTTTCTCTCAGGTATCCCTGGGAATGCTTCCTTGAAGGCACTTGATGTTTCTCAGACACAGTGTTCCAGGCTGTGGGCGCTGTGATTGCTCCCCTTGGCTTTGTTCTCAGTGTGGCAGGGAAATAGGTCGGCAGGGAAGTAGTCAGTGTGTTTCCCAAGTGCAACTGATAACAGATCTGTAAGCGTAAAATCATGGTATAACTTAAAGAAACCTTGCCCTCAGGAAAATATGCCCAGAAACAAACCAGAAATCGACTAACAATCTGGTAGAAAAATGGAGCGAGGATATAAACAGACCGTTCACAGAAAAGGACACCCAGAAAACTGCTAACAGTGATGCATGAGGGAGAGACATTGGGTGGCTGAGAGTAGGGTGAGAGGGGAACTTTAGAGTATTCATCTTGGTAGCATTTGAATTTTAAGCCATGTGAATGGATGTAGTAGTTGTTAAAAAAAGATTAATGTACAGTTTTTAAAAGGAGAAATTTTGGAGTTAACTTGTAAGACAAGGCCTGTGTAGTAATGAGGACAGTTTTTCTCCTATTTTCTTTAGCGTTTAAGTTTGGATTTCTGTACACTGTACTAGACCCATTTAGCTCCATGACACCCTAAAAGGAGTAGATGTGGTAAAGGATGCCTTTCATGGCAAGAAAGCTGATGAAGTTCTCCATTGGAACTTGATGCAGATCTAATATCTTTCCTTCCCTTGTTTAAGAACGGCCTGGGATGTTGGACCTCAAAGGCAAGGCCAAGTGGGATGCCTGGAATGCCCTGAAAGGTAATTGTTCTAGTCAGTTTCCCTTGTTTATAAAGCCCAATAATGAAATACTTTTCTTTAAGGAGTGTAAGGGGTGAGAGAGAAAACAAAGTGGATGAGGCACATGCTGGAAACTAGCTTGACCTGGGCCGGAATGGAAAAAAACTGGGCCACCTACTTTTTCTCCTAATACCATATATGCCTTTTCCAAAAGCACCATCTCTGAGCAGTGGTATCACCTGGAGAGGAGCAGCTGGGGACCAGGCCACTGAAAAACAGATTGGGATGCTATATAGTTGGCGTGGGCTTTATATGTATTCAGAATAAGGGGTGGTTTCCTGCCCACACCTTCCTCTCCCCCCCAAGGCCAGGCAGTCACCCTCTAGCCCAGGCAGCCCTCTCCAGTTCCCTTCTAGCCAGAAAGGCACATAAAAGAAAGGAATGAGCTAATGCATGGCAAGCTGCTGGCACATCGTAGACTTGGTGAATGGAGCTATTGTATGCTAAGCAACAGCAGCCAAGAAGTATCCCAGCGCCGACTTAATCACGTGCCACCTGCCGCAGCAAGACCCAAAAGTTGGCACGAAAATGCCTGCTGGCTTTTGTGTCCTCGCTAGCTAGTTTCTGAATAAGCCCTCTGTCTTCCTGCAAATGAGAAACCCTTAAATTCAAAACGGGCCAGAATACAATAAATACACTCCTAGGATTTGCAAGTAACTGGAACAGGAATGCCCGTCTGGCTGTCCATTTTCATTGGGCATTTCCATAGCACCCTCAGGCCCCATGGACTCCCCAGAGCTTCAGAATGTGCTCCGATTCCCAGTGAGTATCTCCTTCTCCACAGAATCCAGGAACCTGGGTGTTACTGTCTCTGAGGGATATAGTCAGTGTCCTTTGTGCTGCAACAAGAAGGCAAAATTTGTCTCCTTCTCCTCCAAGAGCCAGCTGCTTTTGCTCAGAGTTCTCGAAGCTTCTCTCTGGGGAGAAGAGGTTGCCTGGCTTGGCTTTTTCACTACCAGCTTAACAGTTCTGGGAGATAAGAGCCCAACAGAGAAATACTTGCTAGGTCAAAGCCACCCATGAGAGTGAGCAAGACCAGTAAAGTCACCACAGCTCCCCCGGTTGGGCTTGCCTGCCAGCCTGGAGTGCTCAGCCTTTCTCCTGAGGCTCCGGCTGACCACTCACTCATAACAGAGGAGGACTTACATGGCCAGGACAGCCGTACACACATTATGGGTCAGTGCTTTAGAGAGCATTCACTGTGGGCCCAGCTCCTCGAGTACTTCACGTCAAATCCTGGCCAGGTCTGTGAGGTGCGGGCAGTAGAGCCCCCACTTTAGAGGTGAGAAACTGAGCCTCGGAAGCTTAAACTGGGGCTGTCTGGGGCTCTAAAGTCTGCTGCTTTTCTACCATGCTGCCTCTCTGACAAGTAATCCTCTTGATTCCTTACAGGGACTTCCAAGGGAGATGCCATGCAAGCTTACATCGACAAAGTAGAAGACTTAAAGAAAAAATATGGAATATAAGGGACTGGATTTGGCTGCTAGCCACACAGTTCATCTAAACTGATAGAATGCCTTGTTTTTTTAATACTGTGGATCAAGTGAAATAATGAAAATAACCAGTTAACCCAGTTCCTCAAGACTGTCCAGGATATGGCTGTAACTGATTAGGGGCTGAAACGGTTACTGACCTTTGCTGAGTAGTTTTTATCTGTAGGTCAATTAAAAGTACATTTGTTACTTTGAGTCTTTGGTAATCTGGGTTCTTGAAATAATTTACTCTATTCCAGTCTCTCTTCCTCACTTCCTTTTTCTAAAGATTTCATCTGGGGCCGGCCCATGGCTGAGCAGTTAAGTGCGAGCGCTCCGCTACTGGCGGCCTGGGTTCAGATCCCGGGCGTGCACCGATGCACTGCTTCTCCAGCCATGCTGAGGCCACGTCCCACATACAGCAACTAGAAGGACGTGCAACTATGACATACAACTATCTACTGGGGCTTTGGGGGAAGAAAAAGAAGGAGGATTGGCAATAGGTGTTAGCTCAGAGCAGATCTTCTTCAGCAAAAAAAAAAAAAAAAAAAGACTAGCACGGATGTTAGCTCAGGGCTGATCTTCCTCAAAAAAAAAAAAAGTTTAAAAAAAAAATTTCATCTGGAAGTGTTTGAGCTTACCCTCCGCTATGTTCTGCTGGAGTGTGAGGCAGGTGGTCCCACCTGCTCCAGGCCAAGAGTGCACTCACCTCTTTCATTCATTCTTTCCCTCTTTCAGGGAGGGCAAGAATTACAGAGGTGGCCTTTCCTACTTCCTCCTTCCTCCCAATTCGAGCCGCACCAATCGGGCCTGCTGAGACCTCAGTCTGCAACTCCCTGTCGAGAACATTGCTAGCCTAATGCTCTGAGGAAGGCAGGGTTAATGAGTGTTTGAGGTGTGTCTAAGATCCAATCAGTCCATGGTTCCGGAGCAAATGAGCAAGGGTAGAAGCCCCAGTCAGGATGAAATGTGCATCTGCCATGGGGATTCCCCAAGTCCCAGTGGAAGCTTGGCCACAGGCAGCTGGGCAGGCAAAACCAAGTAGGGAAGTGAGGGCTCAGGTGAAAGGGAGATCAGGACCAGGGAGGGCAAGGGGTTAAGGCTGCAGAGAAGAAAGGCTGGAACTTGACCCTAGAAGTGTAGGGTGTTGAAAAATAAGAAAGAAGAAAAAGAGACAGCTATCGAGACCCTCCCTGCCAGGTGTTCCCCTTCACTCACTTCCACGGTCCTGGAAGGGAGGTGGTAGTTTTCCCATTTCACGGGTGAGGATGCTTCAGCTGAGGCTGAAAGGAATTAAGGAGAAGCTCTCTGAGGCCCGGTGGCTCTCAGTTCTTCCCTCCAAAGCCTGTGCCCTGGTCTTAGACATAGTTCAGCCTTGCCCCAGAACAGTGAGGCCTTAGAGTTACAGTGATTCACCCAAGATCACTCAGCTGATGATAAAATAAGAACCAGCATTCAGGTGTAACTCTCTCTGGTTCAGATGGCTGTACCGCCCAAGGCCTCACTGGTGTGACCGACACTATGGTGGGAGAAACGGGGACAGCAGGGAGGGCAACTGTCGGGCATGGCTGGGATATGGTATACCTTCAATGTAAAATGGGATTAGGTAGTGGATAGTCTTGACAACGAAGTTGAAAAGTACGGAATTTGACCGCAGGGTGATGGGGAGCTGCTGAGCAGTAGACATGGTCAAAGGCATTCAGATGACGGGTCTATCAACAGCTGTTGAGAGTTCCTCCAGTTCCAGCCCAGCCTGCTCATGGAAAACTAGGCCTGGCAGCTCAGGTGTAGACAGGGGAAGGTTGCTCCAACAAAGCAATGGGGTCAAGGTCCAAAACCCAGACATGCGGGCCAGATGAGGTGACCTCCTGAGTAGCAGCATCATTTATGTGGGATTAAGTCTTTCCTAGGCACTGATGTGACTGAGGGCATACGCATATGAGGCAGGGAGCCCACAGTCCTGCTCTTCTCCCACCTGGCTCCACTCCAGCCAGGCCGCCAAGACCACAGAACTTACTGGTGTCTATGAGCCCCAAGAGAGGCAGTAGGGAGCCATAGCCACTTACCTGTACCCATATTTGGATCATCTTTGCTCAGTTATTGGCTCCAGGAGTAAATCAAAGGGAAAACAAATGGAGTCCAAGGCATCTTCTTGTCCAAACAGAGCTGGCTCCAGGGGCAGGCCTAGCACACCTACCTGGAGGGTGATGGTGAGCTTTGAATGAAACTGTGTGAGAGCCTCCTGGCAAGGAGTTGGTACTCACCGTGTTGCCCTTTATCAGGATTTTTTCTCCCACCCACTTTCAAACCAATTCTTGTCCCTGGCAACATCCCTTGCAATATCTTGCAAGGAGTCAAGGACCTCGTCCAGGAACAAATTCTCACTCCTTCGGTACCGCTGGGGAGGGTGTGGATGTGAGAAGTGCCTGCCAGCTGTTCTGCCCTATTTCTAGCTTGTGAAAGGCACCAGGGCCTGGCATACGTGTGCTGAGGCTCAGTGTCACTGCCTCACTGCTGCCGGAATCAGAGAAGAATGGGCCTCAGCCTAAGGAAGTCCGGACAAAGGTAGTGCAGTCTGGCCATCTGCAGTTGGCCAGTGCTAAGATTGTATTATGACTACTCGATATTTCTTCTCCTTTGGATGGGAGAGAACCACTGTCTGGGAGTGAGGAGACTTGGATCCGAGGCCCACCCGCCCCACCACTGGTTCAGCCTCCAATTATTGGCCCTCATTTGCTGAGCACCTGCAGGGCCAGTCTCCCACTCAGGTTCTTTGCTTCGGTTCTCTAATTTAATCCCACAGTCCTTTGAGGTGGAGACTATATCTCATTGCTGTGTAATGGGGATTACCATGCCCGTTATTCAAATAAGGAAATTAAGGCTCAGGTGATGTCAGGGGATCCAAACCCAGGGATCTCTGACCAGGAAGGCCCAACTCATCCCCTTCCATCTCATGACCACTAGCTGCCACTCATCTCTGCATCTCCACTGTTTGTGAGATGATGAGACTGAGCCCCATCTTGCTGGGCTAGTGTAAGATGCCATGGAATCCCCCACATGCTGCGCAACTCCTTCTGAGGAGTGGCTTAGGAAAGCGGGTCAAATCTCCACGGCTGGAGTGGGGCCCAGACAAGCTGTACTTTTATAAGCACCTCAGGTGATTCTGAGGCTCTGCCAGCTTTGGGAGGGGCTCTCCCCACTCACTGTAAAGAAGTGGTACTGGCTTCTCAGAAAGTAATGTTGGTGTGGTGTTCTGAGGACACATCCCCACAGCCTTGGGAAATGTGCCTGCTTCTATGGCTTCTGCAGAAGTCCATGGACAGCCCAGGGATGGTTCACCTGGTGTCATTTGGGAACAAATGAGATAGGCAGTGGAGAGAAGGGCCGGACACCAGTCTGCACCTTCTCCTCAGTGAGGCGCCCACAGCACCCCTGTGGTACTTCTTATCACCAATCTGGCTTTGGTGACAGACTCACCTGTGAATCCCACCTCAGTCTCTCAGGTGCTGGATCACATATCTTCCTGGGGCCACACTTCCTTCATCTGAAAAATGAGCTGATAAAATGGGTAAAATGCTTTGCACAATGCCGAGGAACAAAAACTTGCCAGCAGCCTGGAGGTCTTTCCAAATGTGTATCCTCGCCCTCGATACTGCCCTCCCCACCATCTGGACGAGTCCTGGCTCCACAAACTGCTGCTCCCCACCTTGGCAGTGCTCTGATAATTTGGGGGTCAACCACACAAGTAAATATGGGTTGTCCTAGGATGTTCTCCCCACACCAAAGTAGTTCCGAGATCCAAATCTTGGAAACCAGTGCTATAGATCAGGGACAAGACATCTTGGGGGATGTGGGAAGGCCACTGGATTGCAAGTCGGGGACCTTGGCTCAGCCACTGCCCAAGTTACATAGACATGGGGCAGGTTATGTCACCTCTGTAAGCCTCAGTTTATTTCTCAATAAAGTGGGGCTGAGCAGAAAGCCATGTGTCCAGTGTAGATAGGAAGAAAAGCCAGAGGAGGAGAAAGGAAAGGCCCCGGGGTGGCTGGCTTGACGGGAGTCTGGCTGGGAAGTTGTGAGGGGGTGGTTTAAGCAGCCAGATGATTAAAGGTGTTTGAAATTAAATTACAGGTTTTTGGAGTTGAAGATGAGCCAAGAGAAATAACGAGCGGAGGTAGGGTTTAGCAGAGCTGTGCCTTTGGGACCTGGGTCTGGGCCAGACAACACCCCCACTCTTGGCAGCTCCTAGGGAAGAGAAGACCAGAATGTTTCTTCCCTTATTTATGTATTTGTGTGATTGCACAACACCTCTCTTTCGGAAGGACGTGGGGTAGCTCAGACCAAAAAATAAGCAAAGCCACCTCGGGACCCTAGGGTTTACAGGTAACTCAGGTGCCATCTTGCCCTGAAAGGGCTGTAAGTCACAGACTGCAGGGCAACAGCAGTGCCCCGGGATGACCTCTCTGCTCTCCTCCAAGCAGAGAATCTCCCTGCTTGTCAACATCCCTCTGCCTTGGATACAACTCACCCCTTGGAAGACCAGGAATTGGTCAACTTCCAGCTTTTTCTTATGTTTTATGATTTTTGATAGGTATCCTTACTAATTAATGAAGAGCATAAGTCTAGGCTGGAAATGTTTTCTTTTTCATCTAGCTGTAAAGATAGACCCACCAAGCCTCTCCAGGGAAAGTGGTGAGATATCAAAGACAGCACAGGACTCTGCACTTAGGGGAGGTGATCTCAAGTAGCCTAAGGGTGTGACTTGTGGGGCCCCAAAATACCCCTCCGTAGTGGGCTCAATTGTGTCCCCCAGAAAGATATATCCAAATCCTAACTCCCCACACACACCACACCTGTGGATACGAACTTATGTAGAGATAGGATCTTTGCAGATGTAATTAAGATGAGGATCTCGAAATAAAATCATCCTGGATGATTTTTACGGTGGGCCCTAGTCCAATGACTGGTGTCCATGTAAGAGAGAGCGGAGGGAAGTTTGAGACACAGGGACACACAGAGAAAAAGGCCATGCGAAGATAGAGGCAGAGATTGGAGCGATGCAGCTACAAGCCGAGGAACACCCAGGGGTTGCCAGCAACACTGGAAGCTAAGAGAGAGGCATGGAATGATTCTCCCTCCGAGTTCCCAGAAGGAACCAACCCTGCCGGCCGATACCTTGAATCTGGACTTCTGGCATCCAGAATTGTGGGAGAA